GGGGGGACCTCTTACTGATATTCAGTGTTCATTGTCAACACCAAAATAACATTGTCCTCTTCACATGTGAAAAATATAAATTACATTATTCACTTTAGTAAAAATGCATTCAAATTTATAACATCCCTCCACACCCACCCCAGCCCACCTCCTCACCATCAGTTTGACTGGATATCCTCCAGGCTACTTTTGAACACTATTTTTAAGGACTAGAAGCTCTTGGCACACACTGAGTGCCTCTTTATTTTTCTATCATCATCCCTAAACACTCTGTCTGGCCACGAGGCATCAATCCGTAAATGTGAAATGAAAAGGAAATAGCTACACCTTGATCCCAAAAGGATAGATAATTTTTTATAAGTAATATAATTGCTTTCTCCACTGACAGTTTACAATTCCACAACAAAAGTATGCTATGACATCCCCACGTGGTACTTGAGAACATGAAAAAAGACAGTATCACATTTTCATGTCCTAAATTTGGTTACCCATGATAGACTTCTCTCTGGAAATAGACTATTTATGATCAAATATTTACATGATTGTAAAAAAAAAATTAGCAATTTAAAGATAAATATTAATTTTAATGTTACTTTTCAAGCTGGTAGGAATCTTTAAGATCCATGTAAAAATACTGCATATGAGGGGAGACCCAGTGGCATAGTGGTTAAGTTTGCATGTTCCACCTCCACAGCCTGGGGTTCTGGATCCCAAATACGGACCTACACACCGCTCATAAAGCCATACTGTGGCAGAGTGTCCCACATATAAAATAAAGGAAGATTGGCACAGATGTTAGCTCCGTGACAATCTTCCTCAAGCAAAAAGAGGAAGATTGGCAACAGAAAAAAAATTGCAAATGAGGGGTTTTAGTAATAAGCAGAATTTGCCCAGTTTTTCCAGTTAATTTAGTTATACTTTAGTTATTATTCTTATTGTAAGTCAGTGCCATAATAACAATGCACCTAGCATCACAATAAGTGTTGACTTATAGTACAAAGGCAAGGAAATATTAGGATGCTCGAGATCCTACCGGACTTTGAAAGCATAAGAGATTGCTATAAGTATTTTTAAATGAATAAAGTAAGAGTCAAGCAAAATACTTAGGAGTTACTCATTCTGATGATTGCCAATATTTAACTCAAACAATGATTTTTTGCCACCTGAAATGAATTCAAAAGAAGAAATCGGCATTCCTGAAGAATGTGAGGGAACAATAATAAAAGGTAAGGCATTACTAGTCAGGTTGCAAGACCGGCAGGGGCTCGTTAATAAGTAGCTTCCATTCTGTCAGGACAGCTCCAGTGAAAGAAGCATCCTAACCCTGGGGAGTCCTGCTGCAGGCATTAGGAAGAGGGAATGAAGATTTCTTTTCCAAATTAAGTTGTCAAGGAGCTCATTTACGCTACACAGTGAGTGTATATGGGCGAGCTGATGAAGATGATGATTTATGATGCTATAGACACTTAGGTGATTTCGGTGATGGAAATCCACAGCAAAATCCACTTAGGAAGATAAAACAGAGCTCCTATTAGCTATAGGAGGTAAAACCACGTGGCTTTTGCCTTTACAAATTTCAAGTTACCCTACTGGGTTTGGGAATGGAAAGAAAGCTCATTTACTCGGAATTCTTGTTTTAGTATAACGTTATTATATATACTTATACACGTGCCATTTTTTAAAAAGTTTATATTCGCTGGATCCACTTTAAAGGAATTTTGACAAACCCTTTTTTTCCCCTCTTTTGAGGAGGTAGGTGAGGACTGAATCTGACTAATCTCCTCATGAGCAGCTATGTTACAAATTGACGTTTAAAATATCTAAATGTGAATGTATTGTAGGCCTCCGTCTGCAAATGCAGTAAATATACTTTTTGGTGAAATCTATAGGCAAAACATATGTTTTAAGAAGCTAAGCAAGTACATAAATAGACTTGACTAATGAACGCGGCCATCATCAATTACCGTCTTCACAGTGTATCATAGAAAAATAAAGATTAAGAGCACAAATTACGTAAAATGATAAGACCAAAATGGAAATTGTATTTTAACTTACTTCAGTGTATTTGATGTGCTTGCTCCTTAAATGCCAAGAAAATTAATTTTAAGAATCTCATGAGAATTTATAGGCTCTGATCTTAAATTTTAAAATGCTCACAATATTCATTTTAGTAGCAAAGTGCCAGCTTGAGAAATGAGTCTCAGTGACAAGTAAATTTCTACATAAGCAAGGTAAAAGGACAAAACCCCATTGCAGTCCTATGATTAATCTAGTTTTACATGTTTTACAAGTACTGTTACAGAGTGATCAGTAAACCCTCTAGAGTGATACAATATAACCTGCTTCTGTGAGTTACATCCTTCATTTCCACCATCTTAAATATAATGTAACAGAGCCTTTCATTCATGTGCTTCTATGTATTAGGTTATTATATATTTCCTATGCTGTAGAAATATGAGCATTAGCTATTTATTCTCAGCAACATTATCTTACTGCAATATTTATTTCTTTATAAAAGATTGCAAAATTATGGGGACACAAATTGACAGAACGTTCTTTGCTTCTTTTGCTATATAGGAGGCATGCTGGAGCAACCTTTGGCTTACATAAAGTGATTCATCAAATTTTCCTCTAACGTATTTCTGGATTCCAGGAGAATGTGGCCAATCCATGTATTTTATATAACTATGATAAAAATCAGGTGTTTATGTTCATGTATTTACAGGCAAATGAGAAACATGTAATGGTTACTACACATGTGACTTGATAGCAATTTTCCTGCTAAGATATCAAGGAAATACTACAAATAAAATTAAGGATTCAGCCAAGATTTTAGTTTGTTTTGCATATCTTTTATAACTCTCCTGATGCTTGATAAAACTAGATTCAGCTAAAAAAAGTTTTTCTAAACAAGTAAATCTATGTACTCTCTACAGGATTCCATGGGTTTTCATGTCATTATTCAATAGGCTTTTATCACCTGTGCTCTGAGCAGCCATGTCAGGCACAAACTTTAAAAACATGAATACATAAATCAAAAGTTTTAGGATGCAAAAAGGCTCAGGAATTACAGATGGTAAACACAGTTTCTCAGGACTTAGAGTTGAAACATCATGGTTGTGATTCAAATTAGAATATATTTTAAGTTAAAAAAATAGTACCGTTTTAAAAACATTTACAGTTTGGTAGGATTAACATGTATCAGCTAGAGAAACTTACTATTGTAATGCCATAATATCAGTACCTCATTTTTTACTTGTGTTAAAAATGTTACAGTCATATATTTTTATAAAATGTTGGTATTACAGCCTGGAACAGAAAGCTGAGCTTGAGCCATGTAGGATAACAAATAACATAACTGAGAATTAAGTTAGTATGAAAATGTATAAATTTTGATATGTTCATATTACCAGAATTCTTAAAAGTCAAATTATGCTTAAATATAATGCTACAATTTTAATACATTGTTTGAGAATATGGAAATTTATTTTTACATAAAAGTATCCTCCTGTCAGATGTTCATTTGAAATATTTTTTATAAATTACATTTTGAAAAATTTGATTTTCCAGAAACACCCTCCCTCCATATGATGTCTCTTGTTATCAGGGCACGTTAAAGTTCTGACACTTCAGTGTGATCCTCACAGTTGTCTTGTGAGTTGCGTAGAAGGTGAAGGAGTTATTGTCCTCTCTCTACAGATGGGAAGATTGAGGCTCAGAGATAAGGCTGCTCAAATAGGGCTGAAAATACTACAGATGTCTCTTTTTTTTTCCCAATTAAAAGAAAGTATATTCCAAATTTCGATCTGACCTACATATTTTTATAGACCATACACAGGAGCTTCATCTCCCCCAAAGATCCTTAGCCATACAGAACCTTAGCAGATATGGCCATGGGTGATAAACAAGTTCAGAAACACTAATGTCATGGTTTCTTCCCAATGTAGTCTTTGGCATCTGTCTCAAAAAAAAAAAAAAAAAAAAAAAATAGCAGTGGAATAAACAGGATGAAGCTTTTGTTCCTAATATCAAATAAACTCCTGAAGTATATTTATTTTTAGATTGGTCAACTCAGTAACAGTTATTAGACAGTGTAACCAAATGACAATCTATACGTAATAAAGTTGCTAATACAAATATGTGTATTACATATTAGTAAGCAATAAAAATAACAAGTACTCATATATCATTCAACCTCTGAAGTATTATATTGTCTCCTAATGAGGTTTGCTGTTTTTTTTTAAATTGAACAGAAGGTTAAGGAAATCAGTAAAAGAGGACTAAGTAACTAAAGAGCAATAAAACACAGAGAAAAGTATTAGCTGGCATCCTGCTGTGTACATTATCTGCATCAATAACCAACGCCTTTGATAGAAGTATGTGTCCTAAACACAGAGGCAAAATACATGCCTTTGGTTGATGTTTCTTGATTTCTTTCCCCCTCACAAAATGTAACAGCATTTTAATTCAAATTGAATTCTGCATCCTATTATTCTCTTCACCTAAGGCCAGTAAAACTTGGGCTCTTATTCAGGCGACATTTTTTCATTTATAAAATCTCCACTGTATTTCTTATTTGAAAATGGAGCCCAATGCTTCCCTATCCTCACACACATCTTAGAAACACCTGATGCTATCTTCAAATGTCAGTTTCTTCTATATCTGTGTTGCCTGATTGAAATTTGAATTGGAACTTGTGCCACATCAATGATTACATGTGATAAAAGCAGACTGCCTATCCATACAGCCTTTTTGATAGCCTTTTCACATTATCTCCCCCAAAATCTTCCTGTGTGAAAAATACGTATGGATAAATTGAAATGTATACAAATGTGCAATTTCCACCTAGACCCACAGTAAGATCTGCATGTGGGGTTGTGTGTCTGTGTGTTTTTTAAACAGGCTCAGCATGCATTTACTTTCCCCAAGTCCGTGATGCTTGGCCTTTACTTACATGCATTTTGAGAGCTGGGAGACGGTGTGGAGGGAGATAGAGCAAGCCAGACATCAAAACCATTTATTCTGAATCTTAAATTATGACTTTTTATCATCAATATTTTGGTTACATTGTTACACAACGGACAAATTAACATCCATTTTGAGGTCTCTTCTTTGATTGCTTTGGGATTAGTGACATTTCCTTGGCATACGAATCCTGCACGCATCAACTCTCAGCTGTATTTTAATAATATTGTTGTACAAGGTGCAAAACAAGAAGGACTTGTAAAAGTGCTCCTAGGATGCCTCTGCCAATACCTTCAACCACATGATATCCAGGTGGCTGCCCCCCAGGGGCTCACAGGGGTGTGTCAGTCAACACACCTCTTTCCTTGGGAGATCAGAAGAGGATGCTGAGGGAGAGTTAGCTGATCCTGCTGCCTTTGAAGGCCCGATCCTGGTGTGCTCACACAGAGGTGAATCCAAATAAATGAAAACACACCACTGGGAAGACCCAGGTAGACTTGGAGAAGAAACTACATCTTTAGGAGACTTGGCCATTACAGCTTCCGTTCTCATCTTACATGATTCAGGCCCCCAGGAACATCAGGTTCTTAAAGTATTCCAGAGTGTAAATTAAAAAAGAAAAAAAAATCCAAGTTGTTAGTTCTAAAGGTGCCTCTGAGAGCATCTCTTTCAAAGAATAAGCAGAATTGTCCATCTGTCATTTTTACTTTGATACACAGGTGCCTTTTGTTTGGTTTGGCCTCATCCAGAACAAAATATACAGGTATTTTTTGTTTTGTTTTGTTTGGTCTCATCCAGGAATTCAACATACATTTTCTCTCTGCCACCCCAACACAAAAAATAAAAATGGGGGTGAGGAGACAGAGCTGAGTGTGGAAAGAATAGCAAAGCTTTTTGAGGGGAAAAAAAAAAGCACATACACAAACAATACAAAACAAAAGTCGCAGTCCATTCGTGCAAAATTTGCTTCTCTGGATAAAGCACTTCTTGACAGGTTCACAATGCCCCCTTCTCCCTCCCGAGTCCGCCCCATCCCCCCGGGGGAAAAATACAGAAAGAAAGTGAAGCCATTCTTTCCCTTAAGGCCGAACAGACACACAGAGAACACATTTCAAGGACCAGCTGGTGGGCAGTGATTTGCAGGACTCTTGCTCTGAGCCCAGAACACAACCTGCGGTCCATCCAGGAGTCAGCGACACTCCTCACGCGGGGCAGCAAAAAGCATACGAACAAAAGAAGAAAAGGCAGTGGTCCCAACAAGAAAATCCGATATTGACTTTACAATCACAGGTACAAATTGCTCAAATCGATAATTTCATTTCTCCTTAAGACCTTGTAGTCTAAAACTAATTAGAGGCCAGGTTCCCGAGGAATGGTCAATATTCAAAGAAAATACTGGAGCTTTAGAAGGAAATCATTCTTCTACCGCGACAGTCTGACGGAGGTCGGAAACAAGTTGTCCTATTCTGGCAAGTTCAGGGTGTTAGGAAGGGCGGATACTGGGTCCAGATCTCAACTTCCCACCATCCAGGGGGCTCTGCATTTATAGAGGAAAAACCAAGAAGCCCGAGAACGTGGAGTATTTCCAGCCCCCCATGAGGTTGCCCCTCTCCAGCTTGAGGTGAACTTTGTCCTCTCTTTCCATCAGCAGCAGGACGCCATTGCTGGCAGCTTCCCTGGTAACATCCTGGTCTCCTGCGAATGCTGAGATCACCGGGTAGCCGTTCTGCATTAAACTGACCTACGAGGCAGAGGGGAAAGCTCAGCAGACCATGAAGGACCCCATTTCCACACACCTGTTCTTTTCTCCCTGCACATCCCCATCCTCTCCACAGAGCCCAAACCAAGGGCCAGACCCAGGGACTCAGCTGGTTCCAAGCCCCAGGCCCCTGGTCAGCCCTGCTGCCTGGTTCATCCAGCCTCACAGACAGGGTGAAAGGGGCTGCAGCAATCAGGGACTGTTAAACCCAAAGCTAAAAGGGTCCAGGCAGTTTTCAAAGCTACCCACCTGGATGGTTTGCCTGTTGTACACTTTGACCACGTGGAAGCTGAAGCTATAGATCCCTTTTCTTGGTGCTACAAATATACTGGAGGCAAGATCGAAATGGTTGCCAATATTTACTAAGACCTGAAAAACAAGAGGGAATACGGCACAAACCTAGCAAGCCCCTCCTCAGCATATGCTTTAAACAGACTCCCATAACCACTGACACTGGCTCCTCTGAGCTGCAGGGCAGCAGGCAGCACCAACTCAGCGCCCCAAGGCTGCCCCAGGGAGGAGGCGGAGCTGGAGTGAAAACATCCTACAGCGGGAATTGATTTCAAAAGTATTCTAATGGATTATAATTCATAAAGGTATTTTTTAAAGTATATTTTATTCATGAATTGAGAAAGTGGATGCAAATTTTGTATGTTGGGGGCAGGGCAGAGAAAGAGAACAGAATGGAAAGAATGGAAAACAATCAGGTCAGTAAATGAACTGCACATCGAGTCTGTTCAGAGATTGGTGGGGTTTGGGGACGTCAGCATGGAGCGTGCCATACTGAATGGGTAGAGAAAGGGCTATAGAGGAAGTGGCCCATTAACTAGGATAGCTTCCATGGGATCAAGCTGGCGACCTCACTTCGCGGACTCCATGAGAGAATGGAGTGTGCAAGGTTTTTGTCTCCATGCTTCCCAGCCTCTGGCACACTCCCTGGCAGCATATATTAGGAGCTCAATAACGGCTGCAATAAACGTTGGCTGTGCCTGTTCCCCCTCACTTTCCTCTGAGCAACATGCTTGCTCCCTCAGCTGAGCTATGATGTCATGCAAATAAGCTTGATCAATAACGAGAGAGTCAAAACAGCCCCTTGGACATCCTTAGCTCAAACTACGGGAATTCCACAAGATGCAAGAATAATGACAAAATCAGCCACAGGACACAAGAGCACATGACCCTGCAGACGGCTGTTCTCAAATAAAAGGGGGATAAGAATGCTACAATGTCAAAAGCAGAACTTGAAGAGGGGAGGGCCCCCATTATGACCCAATTCCTTTGCAGATGTTCAAGACAGACTCTTGCCACTGTGTCTGGATTCTGTCCCAATACCGACTCACATATAAATGCACAACTCAATTAAAATAATAAAACGGCTTGCCTGGTGTTAGCTTTTAAAACAAACAGCCAGCAACAACAACAAAACCCAAGACTGAAGATCCTGTCATCTGTTCAGAAAGTAAATTTGCAACTGAGTACCTTTTGCTGCTATTTCTTACACACTCATTATAGATGAATAACATGCAATTCCCAAAGCAATGCGCCTTGCTGCCAAGGACAACTGCTGCAAGGACTTGGGGAATAAGCCCGCACCAGCTTCTTCAAGGGAGCTCCGAGTACCACTTCAGCCCCCACTGCAGGGCACACACAGCCACTCAGGGCTCTATTGTTAAAGACGACATGCTTCAGGATGCCTGTTCCGGGTCTCTCCAAGGCTCTGCTCTCACTCTGCCTTACAAGGCTTTAAACAAGAATGAAGGATTCTCCAGTCAGCCCTTGGACTGCTTCTTCCAACTCAACTACCTCAACTCTTTCACTTCAATTTTAAATTCAGGAAACTGGTAAATTCAGGGCCCTGCTGTAGCTGAAAGAACACCCAGCCAGCCCCAGAAAAGTAGGTCTCGGTTACTCCCTAACGGGGGAACCAGGGAAACATCATTTAACCTGCTCTGGCACAGTTTCCCCATCTATAAAATCAGAATCCTACTATGCTTATCCTGCCTGATGTCACAGAGTTTTCTCGACACTCAGATGAAATGATGGATTTAAAAATGCTGTGAAAACTATTTGTAGAATGCCAGAAGGTGAATAATAATAATAACACAAAAAAAGAGCTTATTCATAAAGTAAATAGTTACCTAATGCCTATTTCATTGTTGTCCGCTTTATTTGGACTTAATTAAAATAAGCACTTTTATGTCTTGTAAAAAAATGAAGAATAAAGAGAGACTCCTCCCAAATAACCCCAAAACTTCAAATATATAATTGTTAACAAGGATTTAAATAAATGAATACACTGGCCTAAAAAGAGTCAACAGTGTGTGTAGGTTTGTCACTACTTGTCACACTACTGTGTGAGAGTTGGTTAACAGAGAGAAGATAACTCAGTTAAGGGTCCACTAAGCCCAGTACTCCATTCTGTGGTAAGCATTTTGGCAAAAGGAAGGGACTGATGAGTTAATGTTTAGAAACCACTATAATGTTTTCAATTTGTTTCTGAAAACAACAGAAACCAAGGGAGGGGGGTGGGGAGACACAAGAGGAAGGCCTCTCTCTAATCCTGAGCAGAAATAACCCAGAGAAGGATTGCCAAGGCCTGATCATATCGCTGACCCTTCTGCTTTGAAGCAAGTGGAAGAAGAGAAGTGGCTCAGGGCAACTTGTTACTGATCTTTATTTTGTTTTGTATTTATATAACCACACTATATATTATATTGATATATTGCATATATTGTATTGGTATACTGTGTTGTATATACTGTGTTTACTATATATTCCATTTATATAACCATACTATTTTGTTTTGTCCTTATATAACCATCCCTGCCATTTCTCCCACACTCTTCTCCACTTATTTTTCTTGAAGATAACCATCCTCTCCCCAGTCCATTCTAAAATAAGCAAGGGGTATATATTTTCTGAGCGTTGTCTGAGACCGTAGGAGAAACCCTTCCTGAGCATGGAGAGTTTTAAAGGCACTGCCTCCGTAAGTTGACCACCGGGGTGACTGAAGCCCATTCACCACAAATGACACCCCCACCCCAGCGAAAAGTACAACGTGCAGTTTCCTTTGGGGAAATACATTTCAGACCTCTTAGTTTTACGGGACTCTTAGAAAGCGTAGGCAGCTTTACGAAACTCTCAGTCATCCAAGTGCCAACTGAGCTGATAGCTATAAAAAAAGCTACAATGTGGAAAAGGGAAATGCGAAGGAGGGCTTACTAAAAAAGGAAAAGGGAGAAGGGTAGGGCAGGGCAGAGAGGAGGAGGCAGGCCGGAACTCCATGTCTAGGACGCCAGAACCCCAGCCCGCGCGCCCAGGCCCCCGCTCTCTGCACCCCGGCGGGAGGCGAGGCGGCAGGCCGGCCGGCTGACCTGGTCGAAGTAGATGGTCATGGTGCGGTTGCTCATCTCGGAGGGCTCGTGGTTGGTGCTCCGCGTGGCGGAGAAGGCCACCTTGGCGCTGCCGGAGCGCACGGAGATGCCCAGGGAGGAGGTGACGGCGCCGTCCGCCGACGGGCTGGAGTCACACACCACCAGGCACTTGCCCTCCAGCACGATGGGCTCCGTGTCGTTCTGCGCCCGCACCGGGCAGCCGGCGGGCAGCAGCAGCAACAGCAGGGCCAGCGCCGCCCCCAGGCAGGAGCCGCAGCCGGCCGGCTCGCGCAGCGCCCCCCGGCGCCCGGGCATGGTCAGCGGCGGCCCGCGGGGGCCCCGGCCGGGCGCCGGCATCCGGGCTAGGGGGCGGCGCGCGGGGGCGGAGGCGGGCAGGAGCAGGAGGAGCGCAGGAGGAGGCGCTCAGGGTCGGGGGTTGCCTCCTCTGGCCTCGGTCCCCTGTTCTGATGGTCAAGGCCAGGGTCGTCCTCAGAAGAAAGGCGTCAGCGGACCTGTCAGGGCAAAGAACCCAAACCCTTAGACTGGGAGGTGAAGCTGTGGGAAGAGGGGACCTGGGGAGCAGGTGCCTGCAGCACTCGGGCCCCCTACCTGGAGGCCACCCTTGTAGTCCCCCGCACAGCCACCACCTCCCGGATTGGCACAAGTCCGGAGAAACGCCCGGGCGCACTGGGCAGGGCATGCCTGAAGGCTCCCTGGCGGCGCGCGCCGGGGTGCCCACGGATTGTGCAGGGAGTCAACGCTAAAACAGGGTCGGGGACTCTCAGAGACCCCGTCAACGCCACCCCTAGGCCCATTCAGCCCAAGGCGGGGGAGGACTCAAGACGCTGGCAAAGGAAAAAAAATCCACTAATGCTTTATCGCCTTCATTTCAGCCGCATTTTCTTGAAAGCCACACCAAGAAAGCTGCTTCCTTTCTCTGCTTTCCCTTACATCCTCTATTTTTCCATCCTGGAGGTTTTATTTAAAAACAAACAAACAAACAGTCCACTTGGTGAAGATCTTATCCATTTTCCACCCAAAGAGCAAAATCCCCAGGAAGCTCCTTAGGGTGAATAAGATTAAGAGGGGACAAAAAAAGAAGAGATAGAGACCCTAAAATCAAACACCCACTTCCAAAGTCCCCGCAGCCAGCGTGCCCTTTTGGAGAAGCCCCTCGGATCCCTCTCTCTGGCGCAGGACCAGAGGATTCCAACGACGGGAACCCCAAGCTTGGCTGATGGTGCAGCTTTTGTCTCTAGACTCGGGCTCCCTCCGCCCTGGCTGGGAGGCAGCCCTGTAGCTTTCTGCTAACTTACGCGCCCGTTGGCACTTCTACTTGGCCCTCTCTTCTCCCACCAAACTAGACAGGTCATTTCAACATCCAGCCGAAAAACAAAAAGCAAAGAAGCCTCTCCCCTCACCGCCCACAGCTTCGGAACAACTCCTCCAATAGTCTTTCTAAGAAGAGAGAAGTTGTTTCTCCATGAGTATCCTCTCCTCAGCCCCAGTACAAAACGATTTCGATATTCTCTCTCTGTCGCGCTCGCTCTCGCCGCCCAGACCGCAGGCTCGCCAGGGTCCCGGTTAAAATAAATGCATGACTGCAATTAACGCGCACGGAGCCGAGGGCAGGGTCGGGGCTGGGTTACCTGGAACATCCATGATGAAGGAGCGCTGCTGTCCACGAAGTTGTTCTGCTTAGAGAAGACAAGCCGGAGCTGGCGGGAGGAGACACCGAGCACGACCCTGCTCCCCGCGCGTGGCCAATAACCGCGCCGCCCCGCCCTGTCCCTTTCCCGCGCCGGCCCGCGCCGGCTCTGGGTACGCCCCGCGCCCCGCACCCGTGTGCACCGCGCCGCGCCTCGGCCCCGCACGCCCCGCGCCCTGCACAGCGTACGACCCCGCTTCGCGCCCGTACGTTTTTGGCACCGCACCCGGGCCGGATCTGCACCGCACCCGGGCCTGCAGCCTCGGAGGGCCCCTCGCGCCCAACTCGCCCTCAGCGCGCCTCGCTCTCGGGCCCCCCAGTCCCCGCCTCTCGTCCAGTCTCCGGACAGCACAGCCAAGTGCAGCGAACGCCCTGAGGACTCCGGGCACTGGCCCCTCCCGGGCTCCGCACCAGCTCCCAGCACCCCCGCCGCACCCTGCACCGCCCAGGTCCGACTCTCACCCAAAACCCAGAGCGAAATCCTCCCAGATGCCTCTTTTTAAAATTAGGCACCCTCAAAAGCACCGGTCGCGCCTCTTCTTTTCGATTCTTTCTTTTCGTTTCCAAATCCCCTCCAAGTCTTAATCCTGAATAGCGTGACCACTTTCATAATTAGGGGGTAAAACAGTGTTCTTGGAGAAAAAAAAAAAAAAAAGGACTGGGATGGAGAGAAAAAGCTTGGGATTTTTAATGGTTTACAGGCTGCGGTTCCGGAATCTCCAGTTTGGGAAATGTCAGGTTTTGGCAGGGATTAAAGAGGCGCCTCCACCTGGGTTTCTGTGTCTGCTCCTCTGAACCTCGGAGCTCGCGGAGCGCGTTGGCACTCGCGCTTATTTATTAAAACGGCTGCTCCGAGCTCTAACGACCTGGGGAGACGCACCGGGTTTCCGAGATGCGCCCAGAGCGCGAGCGAGAAGCGCAAGCACGGACGTGGGGCGCCACCTACGGGCGCTGGGGCCTCCCTGCCTCAGGCTGCGGGCTCCGGCAGAAGAGGGGGCGTCTTAGGGACAAGGATGAGGTTTGCTGATGGTCTTCTTTGACCCCCAAAAAGCAGTCCCGGCCTCTGAAAGAATATGACAACAATAAACGCTCTTTCCAGTGTCCTTCAATACCCTTGCCCCTGACAAAACGAAACAGCTGTCTTGAGTTTGCAGATCTTTACTGCTGTTAACAACTCTGCAGTCAGGTTACCAATGGTTATTGTCTGCAAAACCCTTGCATGGACGCCTGGGCTGCGTAGTCCATGCCTCCCTTAAACAAAGTATATTTAAATATGCACCCTCTTTATAACTTGACTTTTAAAAACATAGTTTAGATAAATACTTAGTCCTTTGATTTGCGTAGCATGCTTTACTGATAGCTGATCAAAAGTGAACCGAAGTCGGCCAATGCTATTAGTAAGAACAGATCGAAAGTACTTTTTATTGTTCTAGACTTCACACTCAACTCTCTTTCTTTCAAAGATTTCAGCCCGTGTCCTGGTCCCGTGCTACAACGTGAGTCTTTTTAGGTAGGGGGTTTTCAAGGCCTTATTTCCCATAAGCTCTCACTTGGCTCTTTTCCCTGTTTAAAACTGCCGAGGCCTCATCTCGGAGGACTGAAGATGAAATTCACTTCAGATCATTTCAATCCAAATGGATGTGTAGGAAGACAGGGGGAAAGTGAAAGGAGAAAGGCACGTTATTATCTGAGTGTAAATATTTAATGTGGTTGTACAAATGTGGTTAAAAGAACTTCTGAGCCAAATGTTTTTCTACTTTAACATGCAAAATAGTACAAAATATAAAGTAGCCCCCAAATCTATTATCCTCTTAAGGATATTTGCTGAAAATTAAGTACTTTATTTCAACACTTTTATAAAATGCTGGTCAGACGTACTGGACTTTGCCGGGAAACTTTTTCAAAGTCACCATATTTTGCTATCATTTTTGTGAGTTTAACACAGTGGACATTGTTAATTCTTACTCGCAGATAGTGACTTCATTCCAATATTTTGTCAAATTGACAATCTCTTATTGTCCAGCACAACTCTATCATTCCATCATAGAGCGTACTGATTTGCGTGCAAGCATAAATAGCAACGAACACCAGACCTATGAAAGAAATGTGGGGCACAGACTGACCGTTAGGCCAATTTGGGGATACGAATTGAGTAGCAATACCTCTCACACATCCATAAGTCTCTAAATAACAGCTCTATTAAGCAATTCTTAAACATTGTACTACAAACGTTTCTTTTGACTAATACGAATGCAGACACACATGAACCAGATTAGCATCACCTTTGGGCGGAATAATCAAACCTCTTTTCCACATGGCAACAAAGATGTTTAAATTCTATAAATGAAGAAAACTTTAACCTATATAGTGAAGTAAATTATGGAATTTGAGCAATAAACGTTCCTGTATAATGGAAAAAAATAGGTTAGGTTTAAATTTAGGTTTGAGGTTTATTTTAGAAGGAAATTAGTAATTGTGAACAGTAGTGGATTGACAGATAAATGGAACCTTATTTATTCACTGCTTGTTCTATGTATAAGGAGACATTTAAGTTGTGTCTTTATGTTATGATGGGATTTTAGCTCATAAACATGTTTAAAAATATTTTCAGAATATAAGTAAATTTAAAAGTGAAGTGTTTGCTAGTTACGGCAGGAATTACATTTTCTGTTCCATTCTCATGTTACTAGTAATCGTTGCCATTACAGAGTCCCCCTCTTATCTTCGGGGTATGCATTCCAAGACCCCCAGTGGATGCCTGAAACCAAGGATAGAACCGAACGGACCCTATGTGGACTATGATCTTTCCTATACATCCCTAACTATGACAAAGTTTAATTTATAAGTTAGGCACAGTAAGAGAAGATCCGAACTGATGGCATTACTTCTCTTGTGGCCATTATTAAGTAAAGTAACGGTGACTTGAACACAAGTTCTGCGGTACCGGGACAGTGGATCTGATAACCAACACCAGCACTAAGTGACTAACAGGTGGGTAGTGTATACAGCCTGGATGCAATGGACAAAGGGATGATTCATGTTCCTGGCAGGGTGGAGCAGGTGGCACAGGATTTCATCAAGCTACTCAATTTAAAACTTATGAATTGTTTACTTCTGGAATTTTCCATTTAATATTTTCGAACTATAGTTGACTCTGGGAAACTGAAACTGCAGAAAAAAAAAAACCTTCCAATAAGCAGAGGGTACTGTACTACCAAGCAGCAGCAGTAGACTCTATTCTCTTAAGTGTGGGAACATCCGCATACACAATAGCAATGTCACCCGTTGACTGAGCATCAGTTATCTGTCAGATATTGCACAATTTCCTTTATCTAGGATATGGTGCATGGCTTAACACCCACAGTCACCCTGTGGTAGACAGAGGGTCACATAGAACTTAAAAGACTTAAAAGGAAAGTATTCTAATGTTAAAAAAAAGTGGCTGTGATAATTCAAGTTGCCCTCCTTTCATTTGGCCTAAATATTTATCTCTAATACAGCTTAAATTTGTTTTCTTTGGGTAGAACTCATCACTGAAATGTATCTTTAGAATGCACTAGAGTCTTTTCTTCTTTAAACTAATATATAATATCTATGATTTTATTATAAATATGGGAAAAATATGACCTGATATGTATTTCATACTCTTGGATGTGAATGCCATATACATACTTTTTAAAAAGAAACGTAAGCATTAACAGGCAAAAACAATTTTCTCTTTAACTTTTTTGAAGAATAATTGCCTAATAGAATTGTGTTTATTTAAAGTGTACATGGTGATGATTTGATATACATATACACTGTAGCATGATTACCAAGTTCAAGATAATTAATGTATCCAACACCTCATATAGTTAACATAATTCATTCCTTTTCTTTTCTTGTTTATGTGGTGAGAATGCTTAAGATCTACTTTCAGCAACTTTCAAGGGTTCAGTTCCATATTATTAACTGTAGTCAGCATACTGTACATTACATTCTCAGAACTTATTCTTACAACTGAAAATGCACCCTTTGACCTATGTCACCCCAACTCCCCCTCCCACCAGCCCCTGACAACCAGGATTCTATTCTCTATTTCTATGACTTCAGCTTTTTTTGTGTGTGTGTGTGAGGATTGTTAGCCCTGAGCTAACATCTGCTGCCAATCCTCCTCTTTTTGCTGAGGAAGATTGACCCTGAGCTAACATCTATGCCCAGCTTCCTCTGTTTTATATGTGGGATGCTGCCACAACATGGCTTGATGAGTGGTGCATAGGTCCACACAGGGGATCAGAGCTAGGGAACCCTGGGCCACCAAAGCGGAGCTCACAAACTTAACCACTGCACCACCAGCCTGGACCCTGTTAGCTTTTTTTTTAGATTCCACATATAATTGATACCACAGAGTGTTTTGTCTTTCTCTGTCAGGCTCATTTTACTTAGCATAATGCTCTTCAGATTCATCCATTTTGTCACAAACGACAGGATTTTCTTCTTTTTTATGGATGAATAATATCCCATTTTATATCTGTACCACATTTTCTTTATCCATTCATTTGTTGAAGGACACTTAGCTTGTTACCATATCTTGGTTATTGTGAATAAAGCTGCAATGAACGTAGTGGTGCAGATAACTCTTTGAGATACTGATATCGTTTGCTTTAGATATATACCCAGTAGCAGGATTGCTGGATCATAATGTAGTTGTATTTTTACTGTAGTAAAAATATAATTTTATAAAATTATTAGTAAATATATTTACAATATGGTGTAATGCTATTCCAGAGGGTTATTAAGATGTGGAAAATAATAATTCTAAATATTGCATACTCAAATTATATATGTTAAATTGTTTAAATATGCATGTTTATATTTCTCAGTGTAATAAGAACATACTGAAGATCATATTAACTTAAAGATATAAAACAGAAATGAAAAGTATAAATACTCAATGCTATGTGGGCACTTTAATAATGAATTAGCAACATAAGAAAAAATTTTTAAAAATTGGAACCAGTTCTAATTCAGTTCAACAGAGAGACCAAGAAAAGTTTGTCTGTATAAAGCAACTGGTTCGTCATTGTTGAGTGAAATTATTAAAAAATCATCATCTGGTCAAATTAGCTAAAAAAAATTTGACAGAAATTCCACATTAGCTGAATTCAAGTCAGTTAAGACTGCTTGCATTATGTAGTCATACTACACTAAACAAACTACCTCTGCCATTCTAAAAGCATATTGAACTATTTTCAAAGACCATATACCAGCTATTTTTTCTGACATACATTTCAACATTCAATAAACATTCTTTAAAAATATGAGTTTTTAATTTTGCTTTTAGCAAACTGATAAAATATAGAGCAACCTCTGACTACAAGGTAATACTATTTCTACAATATTGCAAAATGAACATATTACATTATAAAAGGATACGTTTTGTTGTTCTAGGTTGCCTTTTAGACTTAAAAAAATAAGTCTAGTTATCTGAGGGTAAATATTAGTGTTTATGAGATTATATGTGGCAAGGGTATTGAAAACATACAAGATAATCTATGTTCTTATTACTCTAATTTCTCATGATACTTGATTCTTAATAAGGCATATCTTAAAATCAGAATGCAAGACAAATTAGTGACTTAATGGACTTCTAATATTTGAAATATGGTATACCAGGAGACATGGAACCTATCGGTTGGGAAAGAAACAATTCATCTTTATTCTTTTTAGCTATGTCTCATTGTCTTACATAATCCTAATATTTAATTTCTTCTATTTTATGGTAGGAAATGTCTCTGTTGCTTTACCAAATTGGGTCAAGAGTCTAATGTTAGTCATTTTAATCCTAT